CGCCAGCTGCTTCCGTGTGTAAAAACGGAACTATGTAATTACTACCTCCAGAGCTAAGGCGTCGTTAAGTTGAAGTGGCAGGCCCAACAACAAAGAAGGAAGTCGTAACCGATACTAAACTAAGACCGACACACCAGACAAGAAGATACCGCAGGCAAACTTAGTGAACTAAAAGATTTATAGAGATACTTTATTTTCAAAAAAGGTTTCCGAGGTTCAATCTTGAACTAAAACGATCCCCAAACATGAAATAAAAACTTCCCGAGCATATTGGAGAGAGTTTGTAAGGGATGCGCGCACGTTGATGATTTTTACTGTCTTTGCGTGGGCCTAAACAACCTGTTATCGGAAAGGCAGGGTCGGACAAGACCATTACTTCGACCATCTTACCAACTTAAACAACATTATCGGCTCTCCTATGACTAAGTCGAACGACTCTGCTGAAGTAACACACTCGACAGCCGCTTTGGGGGTCGTTTGTGTGGGATAAAATGATTCGAAACAAAATATTTCGCCGGAGTACTCGCGAAACACTTTATCAAATCAGACATAACCAGGACAGAAAGATGGCACAGCAACGTTTTGAGAGGGGAGAGCATGTTGCTCGGCTTCTGAATGGGCCTCCTCTGCTGAGGTCTACCTCCATGACGCCAACCGTTTGCTTTATAGTTGCTACATCGAAGTGCTCAGCTTCAAGTGTTGCCCGATGCAACCACATGAAGTTTGCCACAAATGTTGGGGAGCAGTGATGGAACCTATGAAGGGGAATACGCGCGTGTCACACCAATCTCCAAGATAGGAAAAGGACCGCTCTCGAAGTACAAAAATAAGTGTAGCTTGCCGCCTGGCGAGACCGTCTGGATCAGTGCCTTCAGATTTTGTAAATACTATCACGCCAATATTGAGGTCAGCAGCCAACTTCCGCTTATTTCATAAATCTGGCTACTAAAATAAACCATACTATATGATGTAGTGTTAGCAAAAGTATTACTTATAATGAGGGCCTCGGTAGACTTGAATACTTCAAATGACTCAAGTGTGAAAAATTCGGCGGCCTCGGTGGGTTTTGAACCCACACCAGCAAGGGTAGAATGGAGTACAGCCAACGCTCTAGCCAACTGAGCTACGAGGACCTAACCAGGAGCCGTGAGTTTAACCATATTTGGGTCAATTTACCCGCCCAGCCTACTGCAACTTATGGAATCTACCAATTGTGATACAGTAAGCTGACTGCCCGAGCATGATCTCCTAATCGTTTTCATCATACCCCAAAGAAGACGAAGAAGAAGTTTCAAGGACATGGACCGAGTTATATTGGGACTGACGTTTCGGACACTCGTTTGTTTCCATCGTCAGAGTAACGTGGTGGTTGTTCCTGTTTGCCGGGACTGTTTCAGCCTTGCTGCATGCCTGTCCGAAACGTCAGTCCCAATCTAACTCGGTCCATGTACTTGAATCTTCTTCTTCGTCTTTTTGAGGGATGATGAAAACGATAAGATATCTGGACCTCAAACCTTTGCTCATGATCTTCTAAGTAATCAATCCAGAATCCATCAGCTAACTACCAGGAACACTAGAACGAGGACCAAACTTCGGCTGAGTAGTGGAGGAAAAGAAAGTTTTTCGGCATATCCGCCCTTCAGCAGGTTTCAAAATATTTTACCAACTTTTCGATTATTTGAGGCTTAATCCTCACTTGCGTTGCACTTGCGTTTAGGGCTTTCAGATTATACGCTGTACGTTTTTCCCCTAAGGGGATATCGTATTTCTCTATACCATTAGGAAGTAGTCGCCAGCTACCCACAACATTGTAATGCATACGGATCAAGTTACATACAAAATGCAGTATTCATGCACGTGTGGATACTGTCTATCGCCTAACAATTTCTCATGAGCACAAACGTTTTTTGTATACGACAAATATTCTTCTCTCAGGTATAAAATTTAAGGGACACACTTTTCTCCAAAAGCACCAAAGAGGACACTATGAAATTGAGGATTTCAAAAATGCTCAGTCGACACAAACTCCAATTCTGTGTTAAAACCTATTGAAAACAGTGTGCAGAGAAAAAAAGAACCCTGACTGCTGCAGTGAAATAATGTTGGTAAGAAAGTTGGGAACCCACGTTTAACCTCAAGTTTGCGGAGGCAGTGATCCGGAGGAAAAAAAAATAAAACTACTAAGTTGGATTAGGAAGCAAAAAGCGCATATGCTCAACATTGGCCGCCTAAGCACAGTGGCCCAAAAGAGTGTAAAGCAGACAAAACAGAGGAAAATATAATCATAGCACATGGGGAGGAAGATAAGTAGATGACGTGTAGTACCTTTACGAGAACTGGGCGGCCCAGGTCCCCTGCGACTGCCCGTGCCTCTTTCTATAGTGGCAACAGATGTGTGCGGCGGACCCCAAATGAACACTGAGCTGCCGTCTCCAGCCGCATATCCATAACTTGAGGAAGGTTTGCGAGGCCCTTCCCTCCTCGTCTGGCTAGAAGCAAAAGTAGAAGCGGATGCTGAGCGTAAAATGAGATATTAACTTTTAAGCAGCATATGGTAGTGGCTTTTAAAGCATTATTGCGCAATATTGAGCTGGGCACGTCGGGGAAAGATATAGTCTGCCTAACCAACAAAGACCAGGGAGATTGGAATAGCCATTTCTGACTTAATGGCCATCATTAGCCAAACATGCCCAACCCCAGGTTTTGCAACCCTCGAGGCTTGAACCCGCCGCCTGTTGATTAGAAATCCAAAGTCCCAACCACTGAGCCGCGGGCTTGTTGTTGTGCCCTGCAGCCCTGAATGGAGCTTGGTCAGTCAAATCACATAAGAGACGGCAACAAGATCCAAAAAGAGTGGCAGTATCAGTTCAACAAAAAAAACATACCACCAATATAGCAGAGGAGAAAGAAACAAGCGGTGCCTTAAGTATGCTCAATAGTTTAAAAAATCACTAAAGGTGAAAAATTTGAGGTAGAATGCGCCTCTAATTAGCGAATTATCCGCGTTTATTACTTATATCAACGTTTTTAGACCTCAGAGAAATGCCCGCAGGGGAACAGACACGAACGGAGTTGCGATTGCAGAAAAGCTTATTCGTTAAGGACTATGGAATTCGAAATGAGCTTTTGAATGGTTAACAGGATTTAGTCATACCATAACTATCCTAGCGGTTAAAGCATTTAGGAGTAAGCGACCTGCAAAATTAATCATTTTAACGGAAATTTTGAGATCAGCCTGTGTCAAAAAGTGATAGATACGGATAGCCATGACTTGCTGCATTGAACGGCGGAAACCATCCCTAAACAGCGTTACCGAACTGCGACTCCAAAGGGCCGCTTTTGATTCTGCCTGACGTACAGTGAAGTTTGCTAGGGTAGCACTTTGAAATGCTATTTCAAATTTACTTGAAGTTATTTATCAATCACTTGATGATGTTCATTTTTAAGACCAAGAGGCACTTTTTAAATGGATGGTAACAAACATTAGCAGTCCGATTTGTCAAGCAGTCTTATGTGGTGATATTACGCCTTCCATACGTCTTCCCTACAAAAATGATATCCACGGTAATTGTGTGTGTATCGTGTTAGCTGACGCCAAATAGTTTAACAGGAGATAATACGGTCCCAGTACGATCGTACCGAGTAGAATTGGTTTTCGGGTCCTATCGCGCGGTCGAGAAGGCCGCAAAGCCTACGTTTCTTCGAGATATATCCCCTTGGGCCCCGAAAATCACGTTAGACTGGACAGGCTAGACTGAGTTGTAAATGCCAACTAACTGGCCCGGCTTCTCCGAATTACACCCCCAGGGTACACTGTTCTGTCCAGAAAGTCTGCGTCAAGGATTCGCGAACCATCAAAATCAAGTTTTCTTATTCTTCTGCATGCTTTTACACCTGAGTTTTTGCATCTGTTCATTCTAGGAATATTGATCGCATGACAAAATCGGCGGCTCTTCGTCATAGTACTTTGCAATAAACACCTCTGTAGTCGATCTTGCAGATCACGTGACAGTTCTCCCAGTAAAATAAGGAGAGCTAACGAGAGTTCACAATACGGTGAAATGTGAGTTGTGGTTTGAAATCCACCTTTCTCTAAGCGGTCTCAGTGTCCGACAAAACCTTTCAAAAACTCGCTTTATGAAGACATGGCCCTGCAGACATTTATCCATACCCTATCCTGGCCGCTTGGCATCTAGTTTGCGTCCACGCACAGGGTGTTCCACGTCTGAACTATTAGAGCAGCACGTGAAAATTGTGCGGACGTACTATTTCAAACACAAAATAGTGGGGCAATCGAGCATAACAGGAAATGATTTATTCTTCGTTACGTGCAATCTGCAAGCTGGGTTGAGTACAAAATACGTCAGCCTTCCGTGATAAAATGTCCCGTAATAAATATCATCGTAGTAAAGCCAACTCTATGATCCACAACACTGGATCATGAGGTTCCCTTGCCTAGCAATGATGTTAAACTAAGGGTAAGACAAAACAATTTCACCTTCTACTAAAAGCAGATATACGTATGCTGTCTAAATAATCTATCAACTGGTTACCCAAAGCTGACGGAAATCTTGACGAGCGCAAAAAAATGTTATTTCAGCAAATCTTTACAGAACCGATTAGTGGGTCGAAACAGCTTGACTACAATAGTAGGCAAAAAGTAGCATCTAAATAAATAGATCGAGTTTTTAAGATTAGAAGAAAAAGAGGAAATTGCAGCAAAGAAATATGCGTAAAACTGTAATAGAAAAACACAGATCTTCACAATCCTAAGAGACGGGGGATGCTCTGACTACAGTAAAAACGTGGACTGCTTTCGGCTAAAAATGAGACTGAGGTTTTCTGATTCACAAAATAGTTTTTAGAGTGGTATCGTTGACTTCCTGAAAAACCAATATAGATGGAGAAGCGTAAATATGAACGGGCCTTTTGTAAGACCATAAGTAAGCATTGCGGAGAGACCGGAGTCTGGTTTTATTAAGTTGCTTCATGATATGAAAAATAATCGAGCAAAGTCCGAAATAATTCGAGTTTTTAATGCAGATAGGTGGAGGCAGAGGCTTTTAATTGGGTTTGGAAGTCATAAAATCTCAAATTAGGAAACTGGGACCGAAATGCAACTAATTTAAGTTAAATTGGAAGGGGAAAAGGTGGTCCAGAGTAAGAATAAGAGGAAATGCCAACGTAGCTGAATTTCCAAGAGTGCCCAAAAGCTGTTTGTATAATAAACTGAGCTACAATAAATGGTCAAAAATAAAAACGTACAAGTTTATTAGCGAACTCTTTGAGCTGTTCCCAGTTGACATGGCCAATGAATCTTCATTAAACGTTAAATCTGTAAAATTTAGAAAAAAACGTTTTATCATAAGCGTCGAAACTCGTAAA